CCCTATCAGTTGCAACTCATCTTATGCCTACACCGCGCCAATCGCGAGTGACTACCAGTCCAGAACTAAAGACCTTGACTGTCGGTGCAGGTACAAAATGGCCCTGCGGGTGGTTGTACACTCCATTGTACATGGAAAAAAAGAAAATCTTAAGTAGTCTTTGAAGTCGTGGCTTCCTCCAGTACATCTGTCAAACATCAATAGCATGTGACAAAGCCACCCCGCCCTGTTTGACGATTATGAGTCTAGCTCGACAGGTTATCAGGAAGCACATGATTATTGTATGAATATTTTATTCTATATTGATTCTCATAAACTTGAAGGTGTGGTTGGTGATACATAGTATATGATGATCTAGAGGGCCCGCCCTGTTTGATGACTAGTTGTTTCGCATGAAAAGTTACAGGAAGCACAAGTATAAATATTTAACTCTGCTTTAATTCTCCCGAACATGTAGGTGTGGTTTGTGATCATATTTACTGGTCCCCTGAGTCAATCTGTAAACATACAGTGAGAAGTTGATGTGTCAGGCTTTCAACATTTTTGTCCATAAAGTGACCCGATCTCTAGTGGGTCGGTTGGGAAACAGAGAACACAACTTTTTTTCCTAGGCCTTAAGATGATCTTGTGTATTGCATCCTTGCTTACACTGTTCCTTAAATCTCCAGGTACGACATCTTCTTCCACACCTACAAGGCCAAGACGGTGGCGTACAAGGTCCTCGAACTCATCTTCGACCTTAACCTCGAAGACCACCCCATCTTCTTCCACGTCTTCAGCAACGGCGGCGGGTTCATCTACCGCCACCTGACGGAGATGGTTGCCAGCCAGCGCGGCGGGCAGGTGGGGGCTCTACAGATCGTCGGCTGTATCTTCGATAGCTGCCCCAGCCGCCGCTCGCTCGTGGTCGGCATGAAGGCCCTCCTAACCTCCATGAGCCACGAACCGTTCCTGAAAAGATACTCGGTGACGTTTTTCTTCGGGATGATGGTGATTTTCAACACGCTGCGGTCGTGGGTCTCCTGGCTGATCCCGCTGGGATTCCTGCGCGGGGAGGACGATTATTACACGGCCATGAAGAAGGACCCGTCGCGCTGGCCGCAGCTGTTCCTGTACTCCCATGCTGACAAGGTCGTGCCCTTCAGACAGGTGGAGGAGGTTTACGAGGAGAGGAAGAAGCTCGGGGTTCACGTGCTCGCGGTGGCGTTCGAGAAATCTCCGCACGTGACGCACCTGGTGCACTATCGCGACCTCTACATGCACCACTGCAACTCATTCGTCAAGTCATGTACAATGACGGGCTTCATCCGCTGAGTTTGTTTTACTGTAGTATTTGATGAGAGTTGAGACATCCAGGGCAACAATATTCAAAGACAATTCAAACTCTACTACTGGATAGTTAGATAGTTATAAAGATTACTTTCGGATCTTTCGAGTGACATCTGTCACTCTTCTACTCTTCTTTATCAATATTAAAATGAACTGACAGAACTAGTGAAAATGGTTAAACAAGTCCTTGTTCATTTGATAAATGTTGACTGGTTCTGTCAGTTCATTTTAGTAACGCTGAAGAAGAATGGAGGATGACATGAAACAATCTCCATGATTATCCAGTAGTAGAGTTTGAACTGTCTTTGAATATTTGTGTGGGGCTTCTTGTTCAATGTTGAGTCAGGCTTGTACAGTGTAAGATAATGTTGTACCTGCTAAATGGTTTGTTACGGTCACACCCATCTGTTTCCATATTGTCAAATTTCTTAGATTTTACTTTAACCTTCGGCCTGCTAAGGTAGCCATTTGGTACCAAATTTGTACCAGTTATGGGGTTAGGCAGCAGGGAGAAGGTTAACAGATTGTCAGAAAAGCATGGAAACAAATTGGTGTGGCCTAAAATCCAGACAATCCTGTTTTCAACCTGTGTAACAAATTTCTGTCCATTTCTGTTTGTGTTTCCAGTCAAACATCAATGTGAAATTTTGCATGAAGACTTCTTCAGTCAATCTGGTTTATGTTCATGTTAATCCTTTTGACATTAGCCAGTGGATCTCATGTACAGTGTAGGATTAGGCCATACCAGGATAAGCCCGGTTAATCCTGTTTTCAACATAAAGGATTATCATCCATCTCTATATCCATTGTGATGATTTTCATGATGACAGGTTTCATCCGCTAATCTGTTTTATGTGTGGAATCATAATAGACAGTTGAATGTACAATACTGTAGATTAGATCACACCAGCATAATGGTTTCATAATTGTTATGAACAGTTGATATTGTATCCTCATTATTAAATATGCAACATGTAGAATACTTAACTTTGTCAATGAGGAAAACTTAGAAACTACTTTCATGTTTTTTCTTTGTATACTGCACACAGTTAGGTGTTTTACAGCATATTTTTTTCAGTACTTACATCTCGCACAATTTTTTATTTGTTGGTACAAAACATTTATTTTGATGTCTAGAATGTGTATTTTTGGTTGCCAGTTTCTGCGAATATTAGCCAGATATCATATAAGGCAATACTAATGTGTATTTTGTGTGCTCCTATCAGTGAAAAAAATGTGAAATCCTGCCAATGTGTTTAATAACTTCAATTTTGTTGAGAAAGTATCAGTGTAAGGTTGTTTGGGACCATGTAACATGTATGTACATGTATGTAATACTGTGTGTTTTATTCAAGCCAAAAACAAGAGATCAAAATGAGAACATGAGACTGGGAAAGGAAATCTTGAATCTGACCAAACTAAGGTTTTGATGTTTAAACCTCCTTGATCTGACTATATTCAGTTTCTGAAACTCAATACATATCTATACCACAAGGTACAGACTTTCCACTTAGATTCAAGTCAGCATAATGTTTTAATCCTTGGTTCAGGAAATAACAATAGAGCCTCTTACATGGATGCCAGGGATGACACATCGGCAGGCAGGCTCTTACATTGTTAAAGTTTATGGTCTGTGAATGAGCACGTCGGCAGAACTTACTGCACCTGCGCAAAACCTGTAATGTATTGTACATAGCACTGCATCAGAATGTCTCATATGAGGTTGTATTTGCATATATAACGTTGCCATTCTGACAGTAGTTTTCAAATGTTATGTCGGAAAAGATATCTGCAACAGGCAAAATTCTGATGCAACGTTGACCAAAAATCCAAAGAAAACCGCGAAAATCCAGGGTTCTGCGCAGGCGCAGTACGTTCTGCCGACGTGCTCTGTGAATGCAGGTTGTTGACACCATGTGAGGCCATCCCTGATAGCCAGTGTTCACGATTACTTTGAATTCACAGTTCATTTATCAAACACAAATTGCCTTTATAGCTGTGAATATTACCTTTTTATTTGTACGTCATGTGAAATCTATTGTGAGGATTCAATTCTTACGATATGTAAAGGATTTTCAGGTGAAGGTCGTTTTGTTTTTGTAGCAGGTGTGTGGTTTTGGCTCCATGTTTAAACCTTTTGACTGGTGCATACATGTATGTGTCCTCACTATTGACACTTTACCATACAATAAGTCTAGTGAAAATGTACCACAAGGAAAATTAGCTGAAACAATTAAAACAAGCTAAAATCCCACATCTGCGTAAGTATGAAGCAAGATCAACCTTTTTATGTGGTCTCCAACTACCACCTACACCAAAACTTCAGGTTTTGACAACTTGAATGTATGCTTTTTCCCAGTATAACATCATTTTCTGTACAAGTTACATATACTAGAATTAATTCATGAAGACCAAGCCATCAGGCCAGTTTAGTTGATACAAACTCGATGTTATCCATGTCGTATGTGGTTAGAAATGACATTGTCAAACATACATAACAATATGAGCTTTTTTTCCCATTCTCTTAGTACAAATTTATGTTACTCAGTGGATGTCATCCGTAAAATAATCTTGTGTGGCCTTCTTGTACAAAAATTGCAAGTTGTAAAATTGATAAATATGTTCTGTTTTTGAAGAAGAAACCATTAGTATAGTTGTTGTGAGGTAGTTAGACATTGCCAAAGTAGAGCTATTGGACTTATTTTGTACATTCCAATGTGGTCCAATCATCCTGGACCTCCCTGTTAAGGGTATGGTGTAGCCCGTTTGCGTATACACCACTACAGTCGGAACGGAAGGGCCTATTTAGACGAGGGGTTGGTAGGTAGCTAGCACTTGTTGTTTGTATATGGAGAAGCTTTTTGCACAGATGCTGCTGTATAACCGTTTGTGAATTTCACTTTAAGCCACAGAGTGTTTTTGTGTGTGTGTCCAGAGAATTTACTGTTCTGAACAATAAAATTGTGGAAATGGTTAAAACCATGTTTTAGCATTAATTTTTTGCATGTCTTCAAGTTGAGAGTTCCTATGAACCAGTTGTATGAAATTTTTCCTGATTTGAGTAAAATCACTGACCTGCTTTGCAAGTCAATTTGCTTTTCATTTTCAAATTCATTTCATTGCCTCTTAAATGTCCTGTAGTAAGTCCTTGCATCTAGCAAATCATTTAATATTTTCCGATTGTAAAATCATTATTTCACCCATGTACAAGGATTGTTCACATGTAAAATTCATAAAGTAGTATATGAAACAAGGAGCTAATTGATAAAAGTTAGGAAATGTAACCAAGGGCATTACTAAGTTTCTACAGAATGATGGAAGCTTCTTCATGTAACTAACATAATGTTAGTCAAACTTACAAACTACCAAAAATTCACCTGTTCACCATGCTTTTTTTTTTCAACCTTCATGAAATAGGCATACCATGTATAAAAACATTGGTGTCTTTTAGTAAATTATTATTCCTTTCATTCTGAATGAAAGAGAATGTATCAAACCGAAGGATATTCTCAAGAAACTTGTAAGAAGCGCGAAACGCCTTCAAGACACCCACTGAGACACTTGGCGCTGTCTTCCTAATCCGCGCCTGCGCACTGGGAGATAATTATAAGGTACAGAAATCTCGGCATTCGGACGTATTTTTCTGAGACTCTCTCCAGAAAAACTGAGAAATGGCAGGAACTGTGCTGGAAAATCTCAGCTCTAGGAAGCTTTTCGCCCTCGGAGGTGTCCTTCTGGTTGTCCAGATCATCTTTTTCATGATCGGCGGGCTCATAGGTGAGTGTTAGCGAAGGTTTTCTATCCTATATGCGGTGGGTCGCGCTCGAAGGCCCGGAACAAAAACATGCGTGTGCCGCTACTGTGCCATTTTTTGTTCGCGCTCTGTTTTCTTAGTATTAAATGTCACAGCCGTGGTTTTGTGCTCCGTTCTGGTTCCCTTGAAGTTAAAGTAACAGTTTCTTGCAGAAAATCGGGCGTGGAAACGCCGCTTAAGTTGTGTACGGTGCGGTTTTTCTTGGTGAGACGTGGGGAGGGGGGCGAGATATGATAATTTGCCGGCGAAAGCTCTGTGATCATTCAAGCCTTTAAAAAGAATTCTGAGGACAGGAAATTCGATGCCGGGGTCTTTGGGAACAGGAAAGGGCTCACTCAAGTGTGTACGGTCCGTCCAGGTGTGCAGATCTTTCTGATAAGAGGCATTGTAGTACCAGGGTTTCCTAAGGTGACAGGCCAAGACGTAGTGAAAGTGATCAAGATGGATTCAGTGAAAGTGAAGTGCAAGATAAGATTTTGGGGAAGGGGGATTTAAGAAATGACAAAATTTCCTCATTATATTGAAATTCAGTATTTGAGGAAAAAATAACATCCTTGAACTAATGAATATAGAGATTCTAAATATATTTGTGGACTACTTAGGTGATAATTTTAGGTTAAAAAACAATAACAACTTTATAATTGTAAAAACCTTTGTATTCATATAACATAACTGAGGATTTTTTTTTCGAGATGGATACCTTCAAAATGGAAGATGTTTTCCCAAATCTGTGATCTTGCTTGGCATAGCTTGTATCCCTAGCACAATTGATGTTTTGTATACTTTGGGCATGTTTGTGTGTCAGGTTGTTTAGCATAATAAATCAGGTACTGAGCTCTCTCTAAAGAAATCACAAGTTTCTGTTTTGGTCCCACTATTCTGTTACAGTTGGTTCTCATCTAAAGGTGGACTGAAAGTTAAATGATACAAAAATGCTTAACAAGAGAACATCTAATTCCATATCTATAATCTACAGGTTTGTTATAAGATATGTATGATAATTCTCAACTAGAATGAAAACTGAGTCTAAGTGTACTAGCCTTGGCACTAGAGTGTAGTAACTTGGTACATAATGATACAGTTTCAGGGAGTGAGTACTGGAATACTACAATCAATTAGGTTTAAAATCAGCCCCCTTGCTATAAATTATAATTATATAAATACAAGTTTTCCTTCCATCCCTCTGTTTTCATGTTGAATTCCTGAATTGTTTTTACTGTAAAATTCACAAGAACCAAAGAGACAAATTAGCGAGGCCTTACTGTCTACTTTTTAATGAAAATACGAGTACTGGCGCCATGGATAGATTGAATATGAAGACCAAACGATTGCCCTGGGACTCCTAAGCACCCCACAGAGATACATATGTACTATGTCCTAATTAACACTAGTGTGATAACCTGTAATTTCCTATCTGTCATCACCCAGGGGCCATTGACAGGCACTTGTTACTGGTGGTATTGGCTGTTGTTATTGTTATTAGAATCTGGCAGGCATAGCCGTACACCGTTACAAGATAGACTGTGTACATTCTGTAACAATTCGTGTATTGAAGATGAATCGCATTTTATGCTTGACTGTAAATTATATGATAACGAACGTAAATCACTGTTCAGTTCAATTAAGCTCGACAAAAAATGTAAAACATTATCAAAGGAAGACACCTTTAAATATATTATATCATGTACAAATATAGACGTCATCAATGAAGTATGTAAGTATATTTCAAAATGTTTCAAAAAGAGAGAAGAAGCCATTAGAACTTAGATCAATACCACTTATATTTATATTTCTTTTTATCTTATTTTTAGCATTGTATACCTTAGACCTAATGTTAGCCTTTTATATTACTATTGTTTTAGTAATCTCTAGTACATTGTACATCCATGCATTTATCCCTCCGGGGAATGAACATGCAATAAAGTTTCATTTCATTGTTTGCTTGTGTTAATAGTTATGTTAATGGTAAACTGTGAATAACACTAGAGATCATTAGCACTTGGCTATAAAAAGGTTGGATTTGATTGTATTTGTTTATGCAAATTGGTTTATGTTTTCGAACATAGGCTTTGTCAAAATTGTCAATCATGATAAGTGTATTGTACATTAATACCCTATAAAAGTGCAATATTTATGTAGTAGAAGAATAATTAGAATTGACAGGACTTCTCATAAAATGTATTCTGTATTCTTTTATAGTATAATATAGGTTTGGCTTCTTCTTGACTCTTTGTAATGTTGAATTTTATAAAGGTTGAGATGGACTTGATTAGAATAAAGGGGTTGAAACAAGCAAGGAAATTATTCAGTACTACTAAACACTAGTAACACTAGTTTTTCACATCATTTTTCTCAGTTATGATTTATGAGTCATCAATACTTGCTGAAGCTGATTGAAAAGTCGGAAGTCAAACAAAAAAACAGACCCAGACAAAAACCCCAAGGCAAATAATTTGTGGTACATCTGATTCTGAATCAGCAACATTTGGTCTGGTACCATGGTTGACTCACCATGTTACAAGTCTGAAATTTCATTATTCCAATTTGAGCATTCGTAAATTAGGTCTGTTTGGTTGTGCTAAGAAGATTTAAAAAAAGGGTTTTCAACCTCCTTGTTTGGTCATAGCAGTCTGAGCTATTTTTACAGCAAAGGAGAACACTAACAGCAATTTTTTTGGTCTTAAACTATCGTGAAATATTTTGTCAATTTGTAATTCTTCTTCTTTACGTTTACTACTTTTTGTGATTCAAGATCATTCAGTTGAATAATGGTTTTTATGGCCTAACTGTTCTCCAGTTTCTAATTTATCATATTTACATGTATCAGGAGAGCTGGTCTGCCCAATATTATTATAATAATTGGCAGTGTAACATCTGTGTGTGTTTGTACAAGAACCTACATAGTTTGTACATGATTCTTCAATCTCTCATACAGATTCCTTTTAACTTTTGATAAACCTACTCTAAGTAATCTCACAGCCGCATATATTTATACAATCACTACTAAGCGAGATGAAGCCGAAAAGAATAGAAATTAGACATTATTTACACTCTTATATGTTCATTTGTATGTAATGTATATGTTTATGTTCATGCTCTGTACCCATGCGACCTGTACTTAGTTCTGTAGAACACAAATGTACAATAAAGGTCTTCATTCTTCATTAAAATCTGCAGCAACCTCTCAAGGGACATGAAGAAAATAGCTACAGTAGTCGACAGGTGGTCTCATAATGCTTGTGTCAACATGGAAAATAATCTAAAGGACCACCAAACACTGAAACAGTGGCCATGTTGGACAGGTGGTCCTTATGTAGACGTGGTCATTTCTTTGGCCATTTCTTGTACTGTGAGGATAAAATAAAGGGGGCCCGCATACCCTTTTCCGTAGAGCGTAATCGGCCGTTTCAATTCTACGTAGATCGTAGACGGACCGCTCTAATTCAACGTAGAGCATTATAATTCTCTGTTTTATTTTACATAATGCTTTGTAGCTACCCGGAATTTATCGTAGAGTGTAATGGGGGAGGCTTCTTGAATTCAGCGTATTACGTAGCCGGCTCTCAAAATTTAGCGTAGAGCGTTGTCGGGACCCCCCATTCAGGCCCATACTGTAATGTTGAGACACCCCCCTTCCACCTTTGCAAAATCTTTCACATTTTGTCCACATTAAAAGGTCCTCTCCTAAGTGTAGAGTGGAATTCAGTAGGAATGTACCTGTTACTGAAGGATCTCTTGTCATGTAAATCTGCTGTGTACAAAACACATTTGTACCACCCAGGACCTTAGAACATGTACCACGTCACAAGTACTGTACCAGTTTCATTTGTGTTGGGGTGATGAGTAGGTTCAGTAGCCAGGTCATAAGAGAATCTAGCTCAGTCTTAGTGTATTGTGTGAGTCTTTTTAATACTTTATAATGGTAGTTCAAATTTCTAACTCTTCTTCTAATGTTGAGATCAAGCCTTAAATACTACCCTACATATGCTAGCAGAAGGCTGAGGAGTAGAAAAAAGGTACTACAGTAGTGCTGAAGAGATGTACAAAAACACACCAAAAACATGGGTAAAACACATAAAAACATTTGAAATTCGTCAAACACTGACACCAAGCTGAATCCTACATCTGCTTGGAGATGAATAATAGGAAGGTTTTGAAGGTTTGTTGACTGTGGTCTGACAGTGAAACACTTTTGAATCTTTCTCTCCGCGATGGTACTATTTTTTTGTAATCATTGATTCAGGCTAACTAAAATGTTTTGGCTCTCTATGGGGGCCTGCAAGGGGGGGTCCCGACAACGCTCTACACTGAATTCGGAAACTTCTCGATTACGCTTTACGATAAATTCCAAGTGGCTACAACGCATTACGTAGAATTAAAATGGCGAATAGGCTCTACACAAAATGCGCCATTTACGCTCTACGTTGAATTAGAGCGGCCCGTCTACGCACTACGTAGAATTAAAACGGCTGATTACGCTCTACGGAAAAGGGCTTGCGGGGCCCCCTCTATTAGAACTTTCTGTAGCTTGGCAGCTGAGGAGAAATCTTGTTCATTTCCTTCCTTCCTGTCCCCAGGGCCTTAAGCCTTAATTAGCTGCCAGAGTTTACTTTGCAGAAGTACTAATTGCCCCCATTGAGGCATGGCAGGAAAAACAGGGTCTGCTGAGGCTAGAAAAATATTGGGTGTGCAGGTGATCATCTGTTCAGGAAATGTTATTGTCAATTCATTTCTTTTAGCACAGACTTTTTAGTGGTTTACAGTCCCACCATATGCAGCTTTTACTTATTTTACAATGCTGGCATTGCTGGGTGTTACACTTAAAGGTCTCTGGTATCCCAAAATATACTGTACTAGTATGAGCTAACTGCTTCTTAGTACAAAAGGGGATACAGAGAAATGCAGTAACCTGTGAGGGCTCGAAATGCTTTTTTTCTGCACACCTGCACTGTTCAGAAAGCATTTTGCCATTAATATTTCTTTTATACACATAGGTGTAATAGACTAGTCAATGCAGATTAAGAAAATAAAAATCCACAGACAACCACATTGTATATAAGTTAGTAGATGCTATACTTTGTACACTGTACAACTGTTGCGCAATAAAGTTATTATTATTATTATATAAACCCAGTAACATACATGAACCAGTACAGGTTATGTGCAGGTAGACGTCACGTAATACCATGCACAGCTCCAATTTTACCTGCACTTACCCACATATGCAGGTCACGTAGGTGGTATTTTGAGCCCAGGTAACCCAGTTTAGAAAGTCACCCCTGATGCTTCTATTCTCGTCCCCTTTTCAGAGCAAAGCTCAGGAATACAAATGGAACTTCCGGATGTACCACAACATGCTACAAAAGATGTGTGAAAGTTATTTCCACTCGCTCTTTCAAAACGCCCGGCAGAATGTCCTGCCTGGCGTGTTTTTGGAGCCGCCTTTCCTGACAGTTGTTTTGACGGCCACCTGCTGCCTTTGTGTGAACCGTTGTGCTTTGCCAACTTTCCTAAGTCCCTCATGCCAGACCACTTAGTCCCACCGCAAAGATTTCTTTTCCTCATTGTGCCTGCGGTGTTTTTTCAAACAATGTGAGCCAGTCATTGTCATAACCCGAAACAATAACAACAACAACCCCCACTTTTACAACAAAGATGAATCCTTTTCCACATTCAGTCTTTCTGCCAACTGCAAGAATTGAAAGGAACACGTCAGTTACAGAAGTACTTACATTAGTTTCAACGTGCCAGACCTGCAGTAGTTGTTTAGAAAAAGCAACGTTGGCGCCAGCCATACTGTAGTAAACATGTCTTCCTTTGTAGAGAAAACAGTGGTAGGATATTGAATCTGTCAACACCCTTTTTTCCCCATCAGTTTATATTTGTTAATGTACATTAAGTTGTTATTAAGCCATTTCTCCGGAGCACAGTGCTGTTAGGAGCTAAACTGAAATGGAAATGTGTTTTAAACATTCAACAAGGGATACACACGAAAGAAATTTATATGTTTATGTACTAAATTAAATGATAGATAAATCTTGTAAACTGTAATATTATTTCTTTGAATAGCTGTAGATGAGTACATTGTGTGTCATAGAATTGTCCAGCTCACAAATAAAAATTGAATGAATTTTCAGAAGCAAACTAAACTGCCTTGTTTCATGTGGGAGGTCAGTACTCTCCAATCAGAGGTTTGGGGGGAAGACTGTTACCTTTCTATATATGCCTTTTTTTCTGTGTGGGGTTAGTGACATAAAAATGTGGGCATATATAGAAAGGTAAGAATCTTCCCCACCAACCTCTGCTTGGAGAGGAGGAGCTCACAGGCTTTCTCCAAGTAACTTCCTAGATGTAATTTACAACATTGTCCTTTATCTTCCCCCCAGCTCCTAGTCCGACCAGTCCCATCCGCTACATTGCCTCCAAATGTGTGGACCGTGGACACCACAAGTCAAAATGGTTCGTCCCGTGGGGACCAAAGGATCAGGTAAGGACAAGTTCCTGTAAGGTTGGTTTGACTTTATTCAGATCCACAATTACCTTCAGTTGACACTGTTGGTATTCATAGGCATGCAGAAGACTGTCACGCTGGTTACTTGCCTGTATTTTCAGGGCTCAGAATAATGGGTGTACATGTACTTTTGTGCTTTCAAAATTGGAGCTGTGCAGCTAAGTTTCGACTGTAGGTGCACCTAGATGTATTTGTGTAGGGTTACTGTTTCACATAAACAGGTACTGTACATTACTGGTAAACGTTATACAGCAGCCACTCAATCAATCAATCAATCAACCAATCAATCAATCAATCAATCACAGCACATCCCCTCAAAACAATACTTCCACACCTGGAAGCAGATAAGTGATAAATGAATCTTTCTTGCATGTTCTTGCCCAGATGGGCTAAATGCACAAGAGGACATGCAGTATGCAAAACACGAGTATTGCATACTGGAACGCTATATTCTAATGCTATATTAGTGCTAGGAATCTGTACATTACAACAATACTATGTATTATATATACATAATAATAATAACTTGTACAAATAACTTCTACTCAAGGTGTGCGAGAAGGTGGCAGATTTTGACGAGGCGACAGCGAAGCAGGTTTCTGCGAACGACATCGTGTTCGCCGCCCACATCCCGCTGCCGAACCGCGAGATGGTGCGCTGGTTCCAGTTCCTCCTCATGATCATGGAGCTCGACGTCGCCTTCAAACTGCACAACCCCGTAGGTGAGAGGTCACGAACTTTCAACTTTTACCTGTAGGTCATGAACTCTGAACCTGCAGGATGTCAAACTACAGAGAGAGAACATGATCTTTAATCAGCAGCAGAACTTTGAACTTTAACCTGCAAGAGTCCACACTGTGCAATCCTTGTAGTGAGCAGGCCATGAACTTTAAACTAAGCTGCAAAAGTTCAACCTGCACTCCCTCCCCAACACACACACACACATGAGGCCATAAAATCTGAACCTGAACCTGTGTAAAATGTTATCAGTTTGGTTTACTAGTTGTGCACCTCCTATTCAGATTAGAATGGTTAACATTTTTCGTACCAAAGATGACATGTTTGTTTGTTTATACAGCGGAAAATGCAGTGGTTACCATGGAAGCTGGCCTGGCGTATCGTGACGACAAGTTTGCAGAGTGGACACCTATCGCCAGGTCTACTGAGGAGAGGAAACTGGTCTGTAACTTCAGCCACACAAAGGTACAGGTCTTAGTTTTACATGTAGTCTTTGACTCGTCCAGGGGGTCAGGGCTCTAGCCAGCACCAGTCTTTCCGTCAATTACCGGAACTTTGCGGCGTGTGTCAGAATTTTTTCAGCCATTCCATCAACCCTGACAGACAAAATGATTTTGATGAATGGGAAATTGTATTTTTGAAGGCTTGAAAATCCAAACATTCCCGGGGGAGCATGCCCCCAGACGCCCCAAAGATTGCGAGCGCTCCCCTTGCCAAATCCGATGATGAACCTGGCCTGAAGGATAAAAAAATTCAAGCTAGCTAGAGCCCTGGGGAGGGTCAGTTTTTACCTGTGCTCGATGCTTTGCAGAATTTCACCTTTTTTACAGCGTATGCAGGGGTTAGGTTTCGATTAAAGTCTCAAAGTTTATCAAAGATTAGGCAGAGAAGGCCAACTTTCCTTAACCAAGTAATTTTTTCGTTTTTTTCTGCAGACGGCAGATAACGAGGGCCGTTACTATGACTGTGACATGATTCCACTGTTTGAGCTGGGCAGCTGTTACCACAAGTACTACCTCATTAACGTGAGACTGCCGGTCAGGGAGAAACAAAACATCAACCTCAACATCGGCGATATCAAGGACGTCAACCTCATAGTAAGTGACTAGTTGTTACTAGGGGTTAAAAAAAGGTCCCGTTCCACTCTATTGCAGAGCATAGGGGTGGCGCCCATCTCCATTTCTGTAGCCGTTGGGCCACACAGTTGTGCAATCACTACAGACAGGGGCTAGTCCACTGGTAGTGTTATGTGTTGGACCTTCCCATACTCTTTCTCATAGATGCTGACTGCTAAGCAGAGAAAGAAGTGTGTACCATTTTTAAAGTCTTTGGTATGACCCGACCGGGGTTTGAACTCATGACCTCACGGCTGAGCACTCTACCAATTGAGCTATTGTACCAGTTTTGCAGCATCTGGGAGGTAAATGCAATTGGGAGGAAAGGAATCCACCTAACTATTCTAAAGCCAAACAAAGTTGCTTTAAATGATAAAATTCTCTTTAAGACCTCAAATTTGACATGAGACTGCAAAGTTATGTCATCTGATCATTAAGTAATGTTGATGATTAGTTTCATTTCAATTCATGTATGTAACTTCGATCCTTTTTTTCAGGGGATTCACCAGAACGGAGGTTTCACCAAAGTGTGGCTGTCCGTCAAGACGACTCTCACCCCAACCATCATCATCATCCTGGTCTGGTACTGGAGACGTGTTACCCAGCTCAACCGCAAGCCTGTGCTGCTGGAGAAGTAAGAGCCAACCTGTTTAAAGTTTAAACCTTTTGGTCCAACACAAAAAAATTCTCTCACCTAGAACTTTCGACCAGTCACTCGTCACCAGTCTTCCTCAGTAGACTGACCCAGTAAGGCTTGTCACATGGCTTCTTTGAAGTGTGACATCAACACTGGGTCAAAGGTAGACGATGTCGGCCCCAGTCGCGGTTCAAGGTAGGGTGATGGGCCCTGATGTATATGGCTTCCTTCACCCCTCTCAAGAAGACCAAAGTGACTGGTCAAAAGCTCTAGGTGAGAGAATATTTTGTGTTGGACCAAAACTTTTAACTTTAAACATGTAACTACCAACACAGATGAACTTTCATGATAGTAAGAGCCAACCTGATTGGTTCATTGGCGGAAGGGTGTCTGTTTCCAGCCAATAGGAATTTGTGATAGGAATTAGCTGAAATCTGATTGGTACATGCTGCTAGCCCAGTTTATTATCATTAAGGGTCACTCAGCTCAACAGCAAATATGTCCTGCTAGAGAAGTAATTTGTAAGATCATCTGTTCGTTGGTGGGAGCCACAGGAAAGTTAAATTTAAATCAATTTGAAATTATCTGTTTGATAACAAGATGTTGTTGTGAAACACTTATGTTAGCATTGTACACACTGGAAAAGAGGTCCTAAAATTCTGTACAAGAATTTTTGGTTGATTCACATTTTGTAACCTCTCTTTCAGAACCATCTTTGCACTGGGGCTGTCCATGGCTTTTATTAACTGTAAGTATGATAATTACAACCTGTAAAGCAAATTACTGCCTTCATTATGGCTTCACCACAAAGTGGTGAAGACATATTGTGTTCCCTCATGTTTCTTCTTCTCCTCCTTCTCCTCCTGCCATTTCTTTAAATGGATTCATCTCTGCCATTTTCAGGCCAAATAACACGAAATTTGGCATGAAGGTAGAGTGGGCAAATACCCTGACGCGTTTTTTTTTCATTTTTTTGAAAAATTGTTTTATTTGGGTTTTTTGGCCATTTTCAGGCAAAAAATATACATTTTGAGATCTGGTTCCCAGGTACTAAAACCAAATGACCTGAAATTTGGTATGGGGATACCTTGGACATATGTCTACAAAAAGTCATTCAAGCCGATTTTGACATACACCACTTTAAAGTTATGTAAAATAGGGCCTTTTTGGCTATTTCTGGCATTGGAAGGTTCCATTGCTGCATGGGGGTGTAGACTATTGGCAGCCATCGTAGGATAGATCCATTTTCGGTATGGGGGATGTGGTGAAGCCATCTGCTGCATTTGCTCTCAAGCAAATGTCGGCCTTTCTAGTATTTGTGTAATTTTTTGTGTCTTTTCTCTCATTGTAGGCTACCTTTATACAATGTATGATACTAGGTCTGACATTTTTACTAATAGTAGTAATTACATCCGTAAATAGTATAAACGAATGAATAGCAAAGTTCTTTGATCACAACCATTTATTTTTACGAGCCGACGTTTCGATGACCGTCTGTCATCTTCATCAGGGCAATTCTGACTGGTTTACTGTGCACTGACACTAGATGTTACTTGGTGCATAGTGCACTAAAGTTGTTATGGTTCACAGTGCACTGTTACTTGGTTCAAATAATTACACTTTCTGACAAGTTCCTTTTCCCTCAGTTCACTGTGGAAAGAACTAATGTTTCTAATGTTATTCCTTTCTCATCACCCCCTCCCCCCCCAGTGCCCCTAGAGCTGATCACCATTGCTGTGGATGTTCCGTGGATGTTGTTGCTAAGCGACATACGACAGGGCATCTTCTACTGCATGCTGCTGTCCTTCTGGATCATCTTCACTGGGGAGCATCTTATGGTAGGTTTGTAGATAACAACAGATGCAGGGCTCGAAATGCCACCTGCATATCTGTATCTATATCGGTATAGCCGGTATAACCACCTCTCAGTGTAACACACCAGCTTCTGTATCTGTATGGCCGGTATAACCGCCCTTCATTGTAACACACCAGCTTCTGTATCTGTATAGCCGGTATAACCGCCCTTCGGTGTAACACACCAGCTTCTGTATCTGTATAGCCGGTATAACCGCCCTTCGGTGTAACACACCAGCTTCTGTATCTGTATAGCCGGTATAACCGCCCTTCAGTGTAACACACCAGCTTCGCAGGCACGCAGCGTGGCGGCAGCTGGTTACATTGCACCAAATGACTTGTTACACTACAGATGACACTTATGGGACTGTGTACAGTACCAATATGTAATACTGTAAATCACTTTCTGTTTGTGGTACTTCTATATTTGTGGTCACTTCTGTACCGCAAATTTAATCATTACTGTCACCATCATATGCCATGCTACAGCAGATACCCGTGGTGTTGGGTTACATTATGTAGTAAATAATGACACCTTCTGTATAAGTATGTTTTAGTAAGAATAAACAGAGCAGTAGTTTGGTAGACTAGACCATGTGAATTTGAAGTAATATGTATTTTGCTTTGCAAAAGCTTACCTTTCTTGTTAAACACCGGTACCGTCTTGTGTGTCCTGCATTGGTCCATGTACTGGTTATATGCAGGTTAGTGCAGGTAAAATTGGAGCTGTGCAGGTATTTCTGATGTCTACCTGCACCTAACCTGCACTGGTCCATGTACTGGGTATATGCAGGTTAGTGCAGGTAAAATTGGAGCTGTGCAGGTATTTCTGATGTCTATGTGCACCTAACCTGTACTGGGCCATGTACTGGGTATATGCAGGTTAGTGCAGGTAAAATTGGAGCTGTGCAGGTATTTCTGATGTCTGCCTGCACCTAACCTGTATGTACTGGGTATCATGTACTGGGTATAATGTACCATCCAATCCTAATTTTTTCAGGACTGACATTTTTTTCATAAGCCTGAGCATTCAAGAACTGTATCTACTGTGGTCACCTGTTAACTGTACCATTTTCTTTAGTGGCCAACTTGACCGTATTTTAACCCCGTCTGCCCACCCCAGGACCAGTCGGAAAGGAACCGCCTGTCCGTGTACTGGCGCCAGGTGGGAGCCATCACCTTCGGCTGCCTCTGTATGTTCATCTTCGACATGTGTGAGAGGTATGTAGGTCTGTACTTCCTCTGTATGTTCATCTTCGACATGTGCGAGAGGTCGGTGGAGTTTTCACCTTTTTATTCTTCATATTCAGAGAGAGAGATATTGTTGACAAAAACGAAACCTTCCTACCTACCTACCAGCACATCGGCAGAACGCACTGCGCCTGCGCAGAACCCTGTATTTTCACGTTTTTTGGTAGATTTTTGGTCAACGTTGCATTGGAATTTTGTCTGTTGCAGAGGACATCTTTTCCAACATAACATTTGGAAACTACAGACGAGATGTTTTCCTTATATGCGCGAATGCGACCTTATATGAGACATTCTGCCAAAGTGCCATGTACATTACATTACGGGTTTCACGCAGGTGCAGTACGTTCTGCCGACGTGCTCTACCTACCTACCTACCTACCTAGTCCCATGACTGACACTGGTCTTTGGGGGACAAGGCAGACTTTGCTGCAGAGGTGTAGCGAGGTCTTCCTGTCTTGGGCTGCTGTCAGGAGTTGTGGGACGGTGAGGGACGTCCAGTCCTTGATGTTGTCCTGCCAGACCACATGAAGCTAGTATAAATAAGAATTATCCCCAAGCAATGTGACTCTTACGTTTAGCCTATTGCCCTTAAACCACGACCAATACTGGCCGCTATCGTTTGGTGAAGTAAGATCAAATGCCTCTCCCAAACAAAATTGGTTCCACCCTTACTCTGTTGTCTAAGTTCTGCTTAAGAGCTGTGCCATTCAGTTTATAGGGGTGTGCAGCTGACAAATCCGTTCTACATAATTTTGTTGACAAAGAATGAAGCCTAGCCAACACAGATACAGAGATACTGTACAGCACCCCTAAACTTCAGTGGTCTCACCCAATGACACAACATGTAAGATGTGTCTGACTGTTGTACCATTCTGTTCACGGGGGTGTGCACTTTACCAAACCATTTTACATCATCTGGTTGACAGAAAAAGAAGCCAAACCAACTCAGATACAGAGATACTGTACAGTACCCCTAAACTTCAGTGGTCTCGCCCAATACCAAAACACGAAAGATGCATCTGAAGGCTGTACCATTCTGTTCACAGGGGTGTGCAGCTGACGAAACCATTTTACATCATCTGGATGACAGAAAAAGAATCCAAACCAACTCAGATACAGAGATAATTAACAGTACCCCCTATGTTAGTAGTCTCACCCAATACCACACTATGAAAGATGTGTGTAACAGCTGTTCCATTCTGTTCACAGGGGTGTTCAGCTGACGAACTCGTTCTATAGCATCTGGGTGACAGAAAAAGAAGCCAAACCAACTCAGATACAGGGATACTTTACAGT